AAACCCTTTAGAATATTTGCATTAATTAAATTTTTGTTTAGGAAATCCGATCAATAAATCTCTTCTCAGTTTCAATCATATAAAACCAGTAAAGATAGGTAAAACCGTAAAAAGATAAATGAATGTTTAGTAAAATTTGATTAATAAACAGCGATTTTTTTTAAAATTTTATTTATTTATATTGTTATGAGGAGATTGGATTATAGAGTATTTCTGAAATTAATTTTCTTTAAAAAAATTGTATTCGATAGGCCTTTCCGGGGATTAAATAAATTAAACCACTTGAAAAAATTGCTTTTATTTTATGAAATAACCTCATCGATAAATGTCCTCTCAGTTTCAATCATATAAAACCATTGTAATTAAGTAGATATTTGCTTATTTTGGGCTTAGTTCAATATTCCATGGTAAGGAGTTAATGGAAACCAAACCAATTTAAGACATAGCAGAGAGAATATCAATTTTTAGATAGCTTGGTTTGGTTTCTTATTGGCACCTGAGTATGAGAATGAAGAGAGAGAGATAATAAAGAGATGTAAAATATTTTAAAATTATGCTATTGAAACTGAGATTAATTAGGTAGAACCGTTGAAAGATAAGTTTATGTTTATTTAAATTTGATTAATAAATGGCGATATTTTTTAAAAAAATTTATGTATTTTTATTGTTATGTGGCGATTGAGATAATAGAGTGTTTCTGAAATTGATTTTCTTTAAAAAAAGTGGAAGTCAAACAGATTTAGCAAAAATAAGGAGAAATGTATTAATTTTTTTGGATTGTTTTGGTATGGTTTCCTAATGGCTCCATCATATGAGACTTTGTATAAGAGATATAAAGAAATAATTTAAATTATTTGTTACTAGGCTAATCGATAATAGTGTTTCTGAAATTAATTTTCTTTTAAACATTTTATTCAATAGGTCTTTCCCGAGTTTAAATAATTGAAATGTTTGCATTTATTTTATGTAATAGTCTAACCTATACATCTTTCTCCAGTTTCAATCATATAAAACCATTGTAATAATACAAATATTCGATTATTTTTTACTTTGCTGTAATGGAATAAGTGTTACAGGGTGATAGGATACGGTAGGTCTTTCCAAAGGTAAAATAAAGTAAACCTTTTAAAATATTTGCATTCATTTAATTTTTTTTTAGGAAATCCGATCGATAAATCTCTTCTCAGTTTCAATTGTATAAAACTATTGTAATTAAGTAAATATTAGCTTATTTTTGGCTTAGTTTAATATTAACAACAGAGATCTTTTCTTCAAGTCAAACAGATTTAGCAAAAATAAGGAGAAATGTATTAATTTTTTTGGGTTGTTTTGGTTTGGTTTCCTAATGGCTCCATCATATGAGACTTTGTATAAGAGAGATAAAGAAATAATTTAAATTATTTGTTACTGGGCGAATCGATTATACTGTTTCTGAAATTAATTTTCTTTTAAAAATATTAGTCGATAGGTTTTTCCCAAGTTTAAATAAAATAAACCAATTGAAATATTTGCTTTTATTTTATGAAATAGTCTGATTGATAAATGTCATCTCAGTTTCAATCAAGTACAAACATTGTAATGAAAGAAACACTAGTTTATCTTAGATTTTGTTCAACATTCCATTTTTAGGCGTTAATGGAAACCAAACCAAGTTGAGACATAGTAGAGAGAATTTAAATTGTTGGATAGCTTGATTTGGTTTTTTATTGGCACCTGAGTATGAGAATGTTTATTATCGAGATGGAAAATATTTCAAAATTAAACTATAGAAACTGAGATTAATTAGGTAAAACCGTTGAAAGTAAGTTTATTTTATTTAAATTTTATTAATAAATGTTGATCTTTTTTTTTTTTAATTTTATTTATTTTTATTGTTATGGGGAGATTGGATATTAGAGTGTTTCTGAAATTAATTTTCTTTTAAAAAAAAGAAAATCAAACAGATTTAGCAAAAATAAGGAGAAATGTATTCATTTTTTTGGATTGTTTCCTAATGGTTCCTTCATATGAGACTTTGTATAAGAGAGATAAAGAAATAATTTAAATTATTTGTTACTAGATTTGATAATAGTTTTTCTGAAATTAATTTTCTTTTAAACATTTTATTCAATAGGTCTTTCCCGAGTTTAAATAATTTAAAACCAATTGAAATGTTTGCATTTATTTTATGTAATTGTCTAACCTATATATCTTTCTCCAGTTTCAATCATATAAAACCATTGTAATTAAGAAAATATTAGATTATTTTTGACTGTCATTTTTTTAGTACCTTTTTCAATTGGGTATTTCCCGTAGAAGACTGTGAGTCTTACACAAACACGAAAGAATTCCGTATGACCCCAGACAATTTTTTTTTTGCACTATGTTCTCAACTGACATTGCAAGTTGTGGTTTGGATTCCACTTGAAACAGTAAGATTCTTGTCTTTGTTGCCTTATTTTCAAAACAAAAGAGAATAAAATCAACTATAAAACCTTATAGAGTGTTTTTTTTTCACCAAAAATGAAAGGCAGCTGGTTTTTTGGTTAGTTATTCTTGGACAAACTCCTAAACTCAGCGCTGAGCTCATCGATGGCATAAGATTCGCCTCTTAACTGGTCTGGTGATTCTGTGAATTCACTCTGGCGTCGAGAAGTGGCGACCCCATAGCCCAGCTTTCAGGCTGCAATCAGCCGCTGGTCCTTCAGGCTGGGGGAACACTTACACTAACGCTCACACAGTACTCTATATTGACCACACTACACACACCACTTCATTCACACAAAAAGATCACTCTTGGTACTCTTTTTCCTTTTTAAATTTTTCAGCACATGGCCCTTGAATTTAGCAACATTAAGCCTTGTATTATAGGTGTGATGTCCCATTCTACATTATGTCTTCCTTTAGACATAATATCATATTTTTAGAAGGTAAAAATAATAAAAATTAAAGTTATGGTTCAAATTTGGAAACTGCTTTCTATTTCGTGGCTAGCATTATTATTACTATACTAAATTATACTAGTATTACAGGATCCTGATTTCCTCACGCAGTCCCCACCTTTTTAATTGGTGAGGTACAGTTATCTCCTCCGATTGTGAACTATCGTAGTAGTATTTATTATTGGAGTATGATCCTTAAATGTACTTCAACACCGTTTGCCCATCAAAGCTATAGGCAACCTTTAGATCAGTTCCTCATTTTTCGTGGTTTGATATGGCCCCATCCTGACTTCAGCCTGTTGTTTTGACTATTCTCTAAATGTCAGACTCATTAAGCAAGGAGTATATTTGTTTATTAACCTTCTTCATGTTGGTCTATGTTTCAGCGGGCTGTAGATAACATTTTTTTCAAATGTTATGATATCTCTTTCATTTGATTTTAAGAAGGCACAGGTTTCTGACCAGTAGGCAAGCACTTTTTTATACAATATTGTTTTGCAGCTCTTGATATTGAGCTACTTTTGTACAATTTAGGCAACTTATAAAAATTAGTTTGTATATTAAGACTTTTATTTTTATTGAAAATACTGCCTGATGTCTTATAAGTTATGGGTATGGATCAAATTTAGGTTTAGTAAAAATGATTGAAATATGCAATTAAACAATTCTTGTTAGGAATTATTTTATATATAGTGCTACTGGTTTCTGTTAAAAATATCACCATTAGCAAAATTAATTAGTTAAAATATAATTCTTTCTCAAATTTATTATAATATAAGTATTAAATAATGAATTAAAACTTTTTTTAACATAGAGAAAATAAAAAATGAGAAATACTAACTTTTCTTAGATTGTAAAATAATTTAAAATCTTTAAGTATTTTAAATTAAATAATAAATATGTATCACTGCAACCCATGGAGAGTCTTGGGCTGAGTACTTTGTAAGGAAGAACTGTTTTAAGATCAATGGTTCTGCAAGGATGTATTTGGCCAGGGTCACACTCAAATACCAGATTTTACTGCCCAATTAAGGGTACTCACTTTATAGAGACTAGGTGTACCCAAGGAGGGTCCCCAAACCAAGAGCCAATCCACGGCTGATGTAACAGGTAGACTCAAACCCAAGATGAGGAGGATAGTGGCTTATTCACTGAGATATCCAGCTACTTAAATTAAATATGTTAATTATAATTTTTTATTATTTTTCAAGAAAAATGAAAACAAAGTACAGATATTCATTGGCATTATTAAAATTCTATAGAATTTATTTTTTAATTAAATCACATTTTCTTCATCATCATTATTATAATCATCAATTCATTATAATTCTCTATGTAGAGTTGTATATAAATTAATATAAATATTATTTTATACTCATCATAAAAGAAAGTTTCACAATTATTTTGGTTTAATATTGGTTATTAATATTGACATAATTTTTTTTATTAACATATCATGCTTTTTATTGTATAGGTGCAGAGCAGTGGCTTGATTTAAATTTTTTTTTTTTTTTTTTATAAATCTTTATTACTTAGTTCCTATTACTTTGGTGCGGTGGTGCGGTTCGGGTGTGTCGCTCAGTATTTTGATTTTTAATATTTAAAAGTGTAGTTTGTGTTGAAGTGAATATTCTTAATTACCGCCGTGGACATTCGGTTTTTTCGATTCGAAATCTGCTGGGTTTAAAGACCTTGGCAGATAGTGAACTTGAAGAAAGAAACATCCGATATCTCCGAGAAATCATGGGTAAGTTACATGCCACATTCATTATTTTTTTTTTCATTTTTTAAAAAAAATATATTTGTTTTTTTCTTATTCTTATCTAAGAAGCTAATTTCAAATATTATTTTAATTTTCAAGTATTGTGAAATTAAGTTAAGAATACAAAGCAAATATCTTAATAAACAAAGAATGTTTTTTAAATCATCTAATCTATTTTTTTTTTTTATATAAATTATTTTATTGAAAATATAGAAAATTATAATTCTATAATAAAATATAAATAGATTATTTCAAAAATAGATTTTATAAATTTTTGAGTAATGAATTGTTTTTTTTTGTTTACAGCTGTAGATCATGGACAGCAATGGATAACAGGTACTGATTTAAACTATTGATTAATATTTATTAGACGTAGTAATAGATACATTTATTTTAACAATATTTGGTTTTATTGTATATATATATATTATTTTTTTAGTATTTAATTGTCATTGTTTAGGAAAGGTACAAATATTATCTCACTTTTGAATATGAGTATTTTGTTGTATTTGGTATTGAAAGTTTAGTAAGCTTGTTTAACATTTTTGAATCCGGGTTTTCAAAAAAAAGCCGCACAGAACTAAAATTATGTATTTGAGGTAGATATATGACTGTAATGTGACATCAGCTTTATCGTTAAAATCAGCTTACGGGAGAAACGAGAAATGCCTCTTTATATTAATGATTTTAAACATTTCACAGTTTTCACAAAAATGGCTTCAACGATTTTCAACTCAGTTTATCAATGAACAATTGAAAGGTCTTTAATATAAGCTAGGTCTTATTCTCAACAATGTCACTTAACAGGGCTTAAATGACAAATGTTCAAAATTTCTTCCTCTAAATTACATTTGATTGGACTTATTTTAAATACCTCTCATTGTTAATAACCTTTGAAAAGATTTGATAATTTAATAAAGGAGAAACAAAGGAAAAATATTTGATTAGGTCAAAAATGAATCTCTGGAAATAATAGTCAAAAGGTATACCTGTAATATATTGTCAGAAAGCTCAGAATTTTAGACAAAACAATATTTAATATAAAAAATCGTAGAAGGTAATGGAGAGTGATGAATAAGTTATAAATAAACATGTCTGAAATCTGAAATTATTTAATGGAAACCACCTGTTCCAAAGAAAATTTAATAATATTTCATAACGAATATTATTAATGTATTTTTAAAATTATTTTCAAATTTAAAAAAAAATGTATATAAAATCTGACTAATAAAGGCATTGTTAAAAAACTATTTCATTGTCATTATGTGAAATAAGAAGTAAAACATAAAAATATTTCATGGATTTGTAAAACATATGTTTATAACCTTAAATAAATATTCTTTAGTTAAATAACTCTAGATCTTGTAATATATTTAAATAATTAGGTGCCTATTGTCAATTTGTTACATGTAACATTTTATAAAATTAAATCAGTAAATAATTTGATGAATTTTCCCTTTTGTATAATCACAACATTATCCACTTAATGTGACAATTTTTGATCTATCAATATAAGGCAATAAAAATCTTGTAATACCATTTTAATAAATTTTACAATGAAAAATAAGAATTTAATAACTAATAGTACTATAATCTATAATTATTCGTTGGTTATATATACAGATGTACTTTAAAGTCTCTCTAGGCATATATAGCTCAGAAACTGGAGTCATGTGTGTGGTTTACAAAAACAAAAGAGTTTCAGGTGAAAAAATAGCCTACCATCGATATAATAAATAGGGTTTGTGTTATTTTAATGACATTAATGAGTTCTTAGCTGTAAGGTTTAAGCTTTAGCTCCTTTAGGACTGCACTTCAAAAGTTTTATAATAGCAAAACATTGCCAGAATATAATTTCTAATCAAAGTATAGTGGTAAGTGAAAGTAGTGTGATGCAGTCACCATATTTTTTTCTCCTAAAAGATTGGACAACATTGGACATATTTAATTATTGTTTTCTGACCTTCTTCTAGGACATAACCTGCAAGTCTCAATATTTTGCAGCTTTTTATTGTTTCCTCTGGGACCGATCTGTTACTCGAGATGATGAAGGGCAACGCTTTTCCTTGTTTTAAGTTGTAGAGTTGTTCCAGTTCCTCGCTGAGCTTTTGATATTTTCTCCAACCACTTTTTGAATATTATCGTCTTTGAATATTGGTATTATTTTGCATCGTTAAATCCTTGTCAGGTATAGGAACATTTCAAATGTATCCCAAAAATATTCTCTTAATTTACAATTTTTTAAAATATTGTAACATCCCTCTTATATTTTACAAATAATAATAATATCACCTAGGAAGCTCACTTCTTACCATTGGGATACTTCCTAAATAAATAAGAGGTTGTTTAATAATAAACAAAATTATAAGAGAATTAATATATGTATAATTAATATCAGACAAACTATTATTATTTACACTATTTATACTAAAATTAAACACTGATTGATTTTAAAATAAAGTCAAATATGGATTGGCAAGCCAACCTTCTTCTATATTATATGTTTCTTCCTTTGTGACACTGAACTCATTTGTCTTCAAACACTTTCCAAAGTTCGGCCAAACAACTCTTCCAAATTGGTAACACTATTACTGGGTTTTACCCACTAGAGCCAGGATCACTTCTCCCATCCTCTCTTCACTGCAGCCACACAACAACTGTTTGCCAAAACCAAAAGCTTTTTCCCTCTCCTCTTTGGGATTTTCCATCTTGGGAAACTACAGAGCAGCCATTTTCTTTTCCCTGAACTAGTGAAACTAGATTAGCTTGCCTTTTAATTGTTCAATATTAATTTATTAAACCCTTTTTACCCACTTTCAATAAAGGTGTACATTACAATATAGATGTATGATACAATGATTTTAAATGTGTCATGGGGAGGTAAGAATAAATCTATAAGACGTATCCAAGAAAAAATAGAATATTATGAACATTTAACTTTTTACACCTAAAAGTTCAAAGAAATTTCCTTAAGCTACTGGTGTTTTTATCCTACCTAGAAGGAAGGTGACTGAAACCATTACCAGACCCATTCAGACCTTCATCAACTGCTGCTTACGAGGAATCTTGAGGATTTGGTGGCCTGAGAGGGTCTCTAACGAAGAGCTCTGGAGTACTACTGAACAGTTTCTATCCATTTTGAAAAACCAAAAAAATAAATGGAAATGGATTGGATACAATTTAAGGAAGGCTGATTGTGCGATAGAAAAAGAAGCTCTTCAATGGGATTCCCCAGGAATAAGAAGTAGAGGAAGAACAAGAGAAATATGCTGGAGACGTGAGCAAAATGACCTGAACCGAGCTGGTAAGACTTGTCCAGAAGTGGAAATTATTGTTGCAAAAAGAGCGAAACGGAAGGCACTTGCAGATCCCCTCTGCTCCACCAGGATACCACGGTTATAATAATAATAAGAAAAAGCAAAATTAATAAAATTTTTTATTAATTCAATAAATATTTTTTTCAAATAAAAAAATTTTTAGAGGGGGTTAAGTTTTTGAATTTTTATGTCGATCTCAATGGTTGAGATAATAAACCAAAAATATTTAAAAATCGCGATATCTCTACTAATAGTGCTTTGATTTCGATGAAACTTCCTTAATTTTTTAGGAAATTTAAATACTTTTGAAACATCTTAGCGCAATATCGATAAAAAAGTGTAAACTTTTTGAGTTATTCGGAATTTAATTTTAACCACCCCTCGTAAATTTTTTTCCAGCTTCTTTTCGTTGACGTATTTTATATAGATAAATTTAAAGGGCGTCGAGAAAATGACTAGCGAAGTTTCATAGACATCGGTACATTCGTTTAGGAGCTACAGTCTATAGCAACGCAGGTTTTTCGGCCGCCATTTTGAAAGTAAAAGGCGTAGAGTAATGTCGATGAAGGAGGATAGTAATGTAGATGAAGGAGGATCATCCTCGGGTGACCTCTGATTTTATATCCAAATTTGAAAAAAATCGGTCCTGTAGTTAAGGAGAAAATGCTCGGACGGCGGACGGACAAAAAAATTGTTATTCGTTTTTCGAATTCTTCGCATCCTGAAACGTGAAACCTAAAATTTTGAGAGGGGGTTAAGTTTTTGAATTTTTTGGTCGATCACAACAGTTGATTATTGAAAATAATAAACCAAAAAATTGAAGGTACTTTAGAGTGAGAAATTTTGAATATTAGGCATTTAAGCCCAGTTACAGAACATCAATAAGACTAAGACATATATATGTATGTGTATATATATATTACATTAATTAGTGCTTAATTTTACACTGGTATAATGAATTTTATCGAAATCGTTTTTTTAAACGGAACTTAGCAGAGTTTGTCCACCTTAAATAGTTTTAAAAATCACATACTCTACTTTCGTTTAAAGTCAGTTTTGTCTAGTTTAATATGGATTAATGTTTAATTAATTAAATCAAATATTTTTTATGGTATCTCTTCATATTCAACAAACAACTTGACCTGCTTAGAAGAAACAAAAATCTTAAATTTCTTACTTTTCTGATGGAAATTGGGCAATTGTTTATATAAATTTATTTGTAGTAGATCATGATGACTAATATCGACCTTTAAAATATTTCCTTCTACTTACGGGACACTATTTACAGTGAAAACAATCTTTAATCTACTTTTTTAATATATTTTCTCGACATATCAATTATCAAATTATTAACATCCGACTGAAACTTCGTAAATAGCTTCATCTCATCGCAACCTATAAATATTTTATTTACGAAAATTCTCAGAATTGGGGTGTTTTCAATCTGGAGGACGGCAAACTTTGTCGATTTAATTAGGTATTAAAAACTCGTAAACACCAATTTACTGTCCACTTGAATAGCAAGATAATTTGATCATACAATCGATAAAAAAGGTGGCCTTAAAAAATATTGGACTGTTTGACCTTTATTTTGACAATTTGAGGAGGTATAGGTTTTTTTTTAAGGCCGCCTTTTTTCTCGACTTTGTGCTCAAGTTATCTAACGATTCAAACTGAAAGCAAATGGGTAATCACAAGTTTTTAGTACCTAATTAAATAGACAAAGTTTGCCCCCCTCCAATTTGAAAACACCTTAATTCCAAGAGTTTTCGTAAATAAAATAGTTGTAGGTTTCGATGTGATAAAGCTATTTACGAAGTTTCAGGCGGATGTTAATAATTCGATATAAAGAAGTCTGTACTACTGACTATAATAATTTCTTCATCTTTAAAGATACAACTGCATTTACTACCCTTTTTTTTCTGGCTGATATAAACTTAATTATTTTTTAAAGGTATTTCTTTGTTCATAGTTGTTATATTTTTTAATAATTTAGAAAACCCCATGATACAGGCTTTATTTTGAATATTACCTTTCCAGTCATTAAAATAGACCCTAGGCAAAACAGTTTGTATAAATATATACATATTTTTTTTATGTTAAATGGAATATTGTAATCGACCAAGGAAAAACAATTAATTTCTCCCTCACATAATATATAGGATATACTTATTATCATATTGTTTTGCTATTAGTTTATTTAACAAAATTTTCTGTGAATTAATCGGGCCATCTGGTTTATATCTGATTTTAATTCTACTTGGTTCGTAAGATAATTAGATCACAAACACGAGAAAAAAAGTGGTCTTTAAAAATATTGAACTGTTTGGCTTGACCTACATCCCCAAATTTTCAAAATAACGAGGTTATATAGGACAAACGCCCCAATATTTTTATAGGCCACTTTGTCGATTTTGTGATCAAATTGTCTTACAATCCAAGTAGTAAGCGAATGTGTATTTACAAGTTTTTATTACGTAATCAAATAGACAAAGGTCTTGACATATCGACGTTCAGATTGAAAACGCCTCAATTCCGAGAATTTTTGTAAATAAAATATTTGTAGGTTAGGATGAGATGAATGTATTTACGAAGTTTTAACCGGATGTTAATAATTTGATAAAAATGGGTCTGTAACACAGACTATTACTTTTTCGATAAGTGAATTAACTTTTTTTCGAATTATGATCTTTCAAAAAACTATATATTTTAAAAATAGTAAATACTTTTTTTTTTTCTTATTCTCCATTTTGTTTTTCATCTATTATAATATAAATACATGCAATACATACATATATATCTTGTTGCTTTATCAATAAATATTGCTGCTATATTTACATACTTAATTATGATATCCTTTCGAACTAGACACTCTGGGAAGCAACGCAACACGTCTATGTGATGCGGTTTAGTATACAAGTTCTTTTGGTGATAATCCTTTTTCAGACTTCACTCATTCACAATTTTATTGTAATATATTTTTTTTTACTATTACATTTTATGAAATATTACTTATTGATCACGGATCATTTATTGTTGCTTAATTTACTTTGTTTTGTCTGTAAAAATGTATTTGCATCTGTCAACTTATTGTTGACAATCAGCAAATGTGATGGCGATACATGATATAATGACATGACAGGCATGGGGAAGGAAAGTACTAAGCAGTACCTCTTCTCCAAGTTTTTCAAATTACTTAGGTTGTATAAGGAAGGAGATCTCTCATCCAACGCCTTTTTAGTCTCCTCCTCATGTTCTGAGGTATGTCACCTGTGTTCATGTCTCTTATAAGTCTGTTATTTAAATTTGTGTAAAATTGTTGATAAAGGGACGTTATATGTTGATGAACTGTTGGAAAGTGGAGGTCAGTATGTAGAGTTTTGTTAGTCACGTACTAAGGTGCTTTTGTTATAAGTTGCAATAATTTTGATTGAAAGGTTTGAAGTTTTCGTAGGTGGGTCTTGTTACCGACAACGAATATTTGTGATGAGTATGTCCATATGGGTTTAAGTAAGTATGTATATGTATTCAGTTTCTATTTTAGTTTTAGTTTTGAAGATTTAGAAAAAAGAGAGTAAAGTAGTTTGAGTCGTTTGTTAAGTGTCTTACGTTTCATTTTAACATGCGGCCCCCATGTCATCCTTCTGTCGAAGGTGAGTCCAAGGTAAAGTACCGTGTCCGTTTGAGGAATTTGATTGTTGTCAACATAAACTGGAGGGTATATTTCTTTTTGAGATATATATATTTTCTTACCAATTAAAACAAATATATACGCAACTTTATATATATATATATATATATATATATATATATATATATATATATATATATATATATATATAAAAGAATAGCCAAAGATATATTTTTAACTCGGGTCCAAAGACTTTGTTTGTTTTTGAAAATAAAAATAAGGCAAAGAATAATGTATTCAGTTATTACAAAATTGAATGTTTTTAAATGACCGAATGATCTATTTATTCGTATATCTCAATTTGTGAATGATTTTTACAGCGGAAAATTCATTTATAAGAAATAAGTTTTTAATATAAACAAATTATTTATGTATTCAAGAGTAATTATGAAAGATATTTTCAAGTATATATAATAAGGAAACAAAAACAATTAATTAATAAAAATCCTTACAACAAAACAAACATATAAACAAATTAATTTTAAATATTCAATATATTATATTTGTTCGTTTCAAAATGATTATGTTTAATTTTATCACATAATAGAAATTCCCGCCATTTTGATTATTCACTGCCGAAGGTGGGAAAGCTTTTTATTATTGCGCGAGCTTAAATAAATTTTTTGCTCAGAATCGAAAATTTTCAGTTGCGTTTTGAGTTTCAGGCATCAAGGAACAAATTTGGTTCGCTGACTGTCGGTCGGTCTGTCTGTAGTCAAATTAATGTGACGGGCATATCACCTACTACCGTTAATTTATTTTTCATGAAATTTTGAGGGATTGTGCGTGTTGGTGCCTAGATGGTCCCATATCAATTTTATCAAATTCCATACAGTAATTCTTTAATTCCAAATATCTATTTTCTTAGATATGCCAATATTTCAGAAATGGCACAATTGAAGTAGTTCAAAGTTGAAAGAAATGTGGTAATTAGTAAAATAATGATGCGTTATATATTTTATTGAATTGGGTAGAGTACTTCCGGTTGCGCACGCGAACACAGGTGGATCTACGGGAGGGCTTTCGGGCTGAAGCCCCCCCCCCAAATGGTAAAATGTGACCATGTTTTACAAAAAAAAAAAAATATTAAAAACTATCTCTTAATGTATTCTTGTTCGTGTAATTATATTTAATAGGACTTCAAGAACCACTTAAACACCATTTCATATAGGTAATTAATTTCTTTATTTTTTTTCAAATTAATTATCGTTATATGTATAAAAAAAAAAATCTTTCGGGCTGAAGCCCCTCCCCAAAATTAAATTCTGGATCCGCTAGTGCACGCGAACATGTATTTTCTCAGGCACGGGCGGATCTAGCGGGAGTGGACTTTCGGACTGAAGCCTATCCCCAAAATGGTAAAATGTAACCATGTTTTATGGAAAAA